GGGGGCAGACAACGGGGGGGCCCGTTGCTTTGGGGGGGGGGGGTGGGGTCCCCTCCCTTCCCTCCCCCCTTCCCCCCTCCCTCCAGTTCATTTATTCTTTGCTTCACCATCTCTTTCTGTTTTCAGAAATCAAAATGCAAAGCCCTGGAGGGCGTGCCCGATGCAGGCAGGCAAAAATAAAATGGGGTGATTTGCAATAGTCCAGCACCTAAGGCGACCCTTGAGTCCGCCTCCCTTCCCAGCGGGCCCTTCTGCAGAGCGGCAGGAGGGGCCATGGCAAAGAAGGCCCTGCCGCACCATGCAACGTGGGCTTGACCAAGGTCCCAGAGAGGTCGGCAGCCCTTCCAAGGAGGAGCCCTTCTCCCAAACGTCCAGCAACTTTTTCAGCCCTTCGCCAAGGAGCTCTTCTGCTTGAAGGGGGGGGGGTCTAGCCTGGGGCTGCAGTGAGCCTACTTGGGGGCTCTGCCCCCTTCCCTATAGAGCCGGGCCCCTTCCTTAAAGGGGCCCGACCAGTGTTCCCTCTAAGCTGAGTCAGTGTGAGCCAGCTCACAGGTTTTCAGCGTCCGGCTCACGCATTTTTGTCTCAGCTCAGGGAGGAGGGCTCCTGGGCAAAATGATTTATGCAGCAGCCCAATATCTCGCTCACACAACTTTAAGGCCAGCAGCTCGCAAAGGAGAATTTTTGCTCACAAGACTTCACAGTGTACTTCTTCTCCAGATTGGTGTCCTGGTTAAGTGCGCGGACTCTAATCTGGGAGAACCGGGTTTGATTCCCCACTCCTCCACTTGCACCTGGCTCGATGGCCTTGGGCAAGCCGTAGTTCTGATAAGAGCTGTCCTTGAAAAAGAGCAGTTCCTGTCAAGAGCTCTCTCAGCCCCGCCTACCTCACAGGGTGTCTTTTGTGGGGAGGGGAAGGGAAAGGAGTTTGTAAGCCGCTCTGAGACACCTTCGGGTAGTGAAGGGCCATGGGGTATAAATCCAATCTCTTCTTCTCAAACATATTTAAAGGGATCCTTTAAATGCTTTTGAGAAGAAGAAGCGGGGGTGGTGTGCACCCCTCTCCCTCCAGTTTGGTGCCGTGGTTAAGTGCGCGGACTCTAATCTGGGAGAACCGGGTTTGATTCCCCACTCCTCCACTTGCACCTGCTGGATGACCTTGGGCAAGCCCTAGTTCTGTAAGAGCTGTCCTTGGAAAAGAGCAATTTCTGTCAGAGCTCTCTCAGCCCCACCTACCCCACAGGGTGTCTGTTGTGGGGAGGGGAAGAGGGGTTGTACGCCACTTGGAGACTCCTTCGGGTAGTGAAGGGCAGGGTATAGATCCAATCTCTTCTTCTTCCCTCCTGCAAGACTTAAAGGGCCCTCCAACTGATCAGCGTGCCATGTGCTCCCTGCCGATCAACTGAAGGGCCTTGCAGGACAGTAGGGAGAGGCGTACGTGCTACCCCACTTCATTATGGCAAATAATGGCAGCCCCACCAGAAACATTTTTGCCCCACAAGCCACCAGATCCTGGCTTACGCGTCTGACGGAGCCTTGTGGGGAAGCTGGGCCCAGCACGCTTCTCACTGGCCTCTTCGCCTGCCCTCGTGGCTGACAGCACCCTTATCGTGGGCACCACTTCCGCCTGGCCGGCTTCCCTGTTCGGAGCAAGCGGCCAGCATTCGGCCTCTGTTTGTTTTCCTCACCCATCCTTGCTGTGTTCAAAACGGACGGGCTCACGGTTCAGGACGTGTTGGCACACTGTCTTACGGCACCCTTATTTAAGTTTTTTTTAAAGGGATAATTGCAGGCAGGGGTCATTTCGTAGAAACAGAGGTGCAGGAGCTCAGTAGCATGACTCATTAGCATAACTCATCTGCGTATGCCACGCCCCCTGACATCACCGGAAGTGTGTCAGAAGGCAACCCCCACCACTCAGGCTCCACTGGACTGTTTTGGATTGCTAGCTATTGGGGGGGGGGATGCGCAGATCTGCCCTCACAGAGGAGGGAGAGCTTGTACCTGAATAAACCTTGGCCTTAAAGGTGCCACTGGACTGTTTTGGGCCGGGGGGAGCTCTACAACTTACCTGGCTGCTTCTTGCTCTGACTGAGGGTTGCTGGGAGCAGGGGGTGGGGCTTGTTGCATGTGCCCGCCCCCCTGGGCTCTTTACTGCCGGAGCTCTGCTCCTGTGCGCTCCTGCAGGAAATGACCCCTGATTGCAGGCATCCCTCTACTTAGAGAAGTTAGCCATCCTGGAATTAAGATCGGCTTTTACGGCTTTAAGATTTCAATCCGTGCCCTCAGTGATCAGGACTGGACATTTTTTTGGTATCCCTGCCCCTCCTTAGACTTTGTCTTTGTGACACGGGGGGAAGTAGACGGTATAGTACATTACATTCCGAGATGCTCGTGGCATGAAGCTGCTAGGTTAAAATACATCATCCCTGTTATTCCGCCGGGTAATGGACTCTCCGATCTGGATTTGGTCAAATTTTTACTCTCGGACCTTGATGCTAGTAGAATGGCGCTATTTGCCTTAGCATCAAGGAAACACAGAATGAGCGTAGTATTTAATTTAAAGCAGAAGGAGTATAGGATTTAAGGCCGTTAACTGATATCGTTTAGTGCCTACGTGTCATTTTATAGCCTGATGTATTTTCTTTGCTCAACCATGGTGTGACTTGTTATGGCCTTTGGCTAAGACAATAAAACATATCTGTACTACACCCCCGACCTTGCTGGAGCTGCGGAGACCATCGGCAGTTTCCCCTCCGTCGCCTCTCCCTCGGAGCTGATGCTTGTAATGCTCCCTCTAAGCTGTGGAGTCCTGTGAGCGAAAATTCTGCTTTGTGAGCTACTGGCACGGAAGCTGTGAGCGAGCGATTTGGCTGCTGCATCAATTAGTTTGCTCTGGAGCCCTCCTTCCTGAGCGCAGACAAAAATCTGTGAGCCGGAGGCTAAAAAACTGTGAGCCGGCTCACACTCACTCAGCTTAGAGGGAACCCTGCTTGTAACCCACACGATTCATACCAGGGCTCCTTAATGTCTGAACGAACAGCCACTGAGCCTTTCAAGGCGGTGGGAGAACAGCGGGAGGCCGGGCTGGGTTGGCGGAGGAGATGTAGCGGAGATGGAACCCAGATGTCACAGACCGGGTGGGAGGGCATAGAATGGCTGTTGAAGAGGGGCGGGGCAGAAGGGAGATTGTGGCCCGGCCGATCAGAAGGATTTGGGCACAGTAACGTTCTGGTAATGGCCAAGTGAAGGCACAAGATTGTGACACTTGGATTTGCTTACCGGAAACCGCTGAGGTTCCAGAGGAGAAAGGGGTAAAAAACGGGCCTGCTCCGGAGAGGTGGGGAGGTTTTCGCAGGGCCTGCAAGGACGTGGCCCCCGGGGTGATCCTTCCAGGGCCAGAGAGGCGGGGCTGGGCGCGTGTAGACAGGCCTTTTGTGTTCCAGGGCACTGACTCTCCTTCTCCCCAGGCAGAACCAGGAGAATGGCCACCCGCAGGTGGCCGCAGGGAGCCGGGCTCTTGGGCGCGGGCGCCCTCGTGACGGTCTGCGCAATGCTGATGGGGTCTGTCTCCTCGCACGAAGGCTGCCACGGCCACTCCCACGGGGACTTGCACCACGGCCACAGCCACGCTCACCACCACGGTCATGAGGATATCTGGCACGGCCACTCGCACGAGGACCCCCATCACGGACACAGCCACTCGCACGGCGACTTCCAGGGGCATGCCCACGAGGACGCTCACCACGGGCACAGCCATGGACACGAGGACCCCAGTCGTGGACACAGCCATCCGCACGGGCATGCTCACGAGGATGCTCGCCACTGGCATGAGGACCCGCATCACGGGCACGCGCACGGAGATTTTCACCACGGGCACAGCCACGGGCACGAGGACCCCAGTCGACACAGCCATTCGCACGGGCCTGCTCACGAGGACCCCCATCACGGGCACAGCCATTCACACGGTGACTTCCAGGGGCACGCTCACGAGGACGCTCGCCACGGGCACACGCACGAGGATTTCCACCATGGGCACAGCCATTTGCATGGGCACGCTCACGAGGGCCCCCATCACGGGCACAGCCACGCCCATTCCCACGAGGATCCTCACCAGCTAGTCCAGAGCCCCTCGCAGCGGGCCAGCGGTCCCAGTCGGGCCGAATCCTTCCACAGCCATGGGAAGCCGTCTCTGAGGAGGGAGAGGCTGGAGCCGGTCCAGCTGTGGTCCTACGTGAGTCTCCCGGCCTGAGTTTCCCCGGGGGCTGGGGCGCCTCGTCCCGCTCAGGGGCACCATCGACCGTGAGCGGGTTTGGGGCAGGGGGCAGAGCCTCTTCCACGGCCTCCTGGGCTGTCTTCTGGCGGGGTCGTTGCTGGGAAATGAGGGGGGCGGGAGCCGTTTCATGCACTCCCCACTGTGTTCGTTGGGGGGGGGTAGAGAAGCTGGCTTCCCAATTGCAGAGAGAGAGAGGTTCTAAACCAGAACTCACTTTATTCCATTGCTCACTCTTAAGTCAGAAAACACTCTTGGAGCATTCCAGTATTCGGCGTAGAATATCTCAGCACAACCCCAAGACATAAACAGTGCACTTGAAGTTCTGTAAAGGATATAAAGGAGCCAGTTTGGTGTAGTGTGCGGACTCTAACCTGGGAGAACCGGGTGTGATTCCCCACTGTTCCTCCACTTGCACCTGGCTGGGTGACCGTGGGCAATCTGTAGTTCTGATAAGAGGTGTCCTTGGAAAAGAGCCGTTTCTGTCAAGAGCTCTCTCAGCCCCACCTACCTCCCAGGCAGTGTTCCCTCTAAGCTGAGTTAGTGTGAGCCAGCTCACAGTTTTTTAGCCTCCAGCTCACAGATTTTTGTCTCAGCTCAGGGAGGAGGGCTCCAGAGCAAACTGATTTATGCAGCAGCCAAACCGCTCACTCACAACTTTAATGCCAGGAGCTCACAAAGTAGAACTTTTGCTCACAAGACTCCACAGGTTAGAGGGAACATTGCTCCCAGGGTGCCTGTTGTGGAGAGGGGAAGGGAAAGGAGTTTGTAAACCACTCTGAGACTCCCGAGTGAAGGGCCGTGGGGTATCAATCCAGTCTTGTTCTTCTTCATCGTTTTTGGTTGCTCTGCCTAGACCCATAACGGAGGGTGACTAGCCAGAACAACCAGGAACAAAACGCAACTCCGACATCAGGTACTCTTCTCCAACCGTGGGGGCTAATATACCTGTCAGTCAAGTCTGTGACGAGCATGTGACATGCGTCTGACATAGTCGGCAAAGCTCAGCCCCTTTCTTTCTATCTCTGCAGTCAGGAAAGGCAAGGAAAGCTGGGTTGCGTAGGGTGACTCACGGAATCAAGGAAGCTAGTTTTTGATGCTCTGATCTGTTTAGAATTTGAAGGGACTCCTGACGGCTGCACAGTAGAAACAGTCCCAGGATGCGAAAGTCACGTGAGGCAGAAGTCGTGTCCAGGGTTCTCAGTACCCGAAGGCCACGGCACTGAGCGGAGTCCTGAAGCCTCCTGGGAAATAGAATGATTGATTGTTTGATTTGACTTTTACCCCGCCCTCCCCGCCGAGGCGGGCTCAGGGCGGCTCCCATAAAACTAATAAGACAATATACGTCTTATAAAATGACAGATACATCAATTCAAAGCATTCATTGAGCCAAAGATTCCACTACAGAGGCTAATTGCCGTAGGAATGAAAGTCACATCGGTTGAGCGGAGGACAGAGCCTCTGTCCGGCCCCGATTCCGCGACGGTCATTCCTTCCCCATGGGAGACCCAAGCAGTGCTCCCTCTAAGCACTGTTTGGTGTAGTGGTTAAGTGTGCGGACTGTAAATTGGGAGAACCGGGTTTGATTCCCCACTCCTCCACTCGCAGCTGGCTGGATGACCTTGGGCAAGCCACAAGTTCTGTCAGAGCTGTTCTTGGGGGAAAAGGGCAGTTTCTGTCAGAGCTCTCTCAGCCCCACCTACCTCACAGGGTGTCTGCTGTTGGGAGGGGAAAAGAAAGGAGTTTGTAAGCGGCTCTGAGACTTCCTTGGGTAGTGAAGGGTGGGGTATAAACCCAATCTCTTCTCTTCTTCTTCTAAGCTGTGGAGTCTTGTGAGCAAAAATTCTCTTTTGTGAGCTGCTGGCATTACAGTTGTGAGCAAGCGATTTGGCTAAGGCATCAGTTCGTCTGCTCTGGAGCCCTCCTTCCTGAGCGGAGACAAAATTGTGTGAGCCAGAGGCGAAAAAACTGTGAGCTAGCTCACACCGACTCAGCTTAGAGGGAACACTGGACCCAAGCAGGCCCCACCAGGCCCGCCTTCTCTGGATTTGGCCTGCTCGGCCGCCTCCCTCTCCCAACGGGGTCTGTCCTCTGGGTCTTTCCAGCCAGCAGGTCCGTAGGTCTCTGCTGGGGGAGGGGGGCATTTCTAAGTTGGCCTCTCCGTCAGACCCATCAAGAATCCCGCCTCTGCTTTTAGTGAAGAAGAAGAGATTGGATGTATACCCCACGGCCCTTCCCTACCCAGGGGAGTCCCAGAGTGGCTCACAGTCCGCTTCCCTTCCCCTCCCCACCCCGCAATTTATTTTAATTATTTATTTTTCCAATTTATTCCCCGCCCTCCCCGCCAAGGCGGGCTCAGGGCGGCTTACCTAAAAGCAGGGCTTTTTTGGTAGAAAAAGCCCAGCAGGAACTCATTAGCATTAGAGGCCACACCCAACAGCAGAAACGTATTGGCATATTAGGCCACAGCCCTGACAGCACAGCTCATTAGCATATTAGGCCACACACCCCATGTTACCAGCAGGGTGGTCATCCAGCCACGCCCACCTTTTCCTTCATATTCTGTTGACCTTGTTTGTGGTCAAAACGGTCCAGGGCTTTTTTTGTAGCAGGAACTCCTTTGCATGCTAGGCCACACACCCCTAATGTAGCCAGTCCTAATGCATTTCTGCTGTTGGGTGTGGCCTATTAGGCTAATGAGTTCCTGCTGGGCGTGCCCAACGTGCCCAACTCGGGAGCCAGCCGGAACTCCGTTCCTGTGCGTTCCTGCCCAAAAATAGCCCTGCATAAAAGTAAATACAAGGTCACCCAGCAGCTGCATGTGGAGGAGTGGAGAATCGGAACTCGATTCCGCGCTCTCTGCCACGGGATACTGAGTCACACTCAGGAGGTCCGGGGGGGGGGGGGGGGGGTGACCTTCGCTGTGCCCGAGAAGGGATCTGAACTCAGACCTCCTGGAGCTGGGCTGAAAGGGGAAGGAAGGGCTGCCGCAGGTGTGTGACCTCTCCCCCGCCTCACCCTCTGCTTCCCCCCCGCAGGCCATCGGGGCCACCCTCCTCATCAGCGCCGCCCCGTACTTCATCCTCTTCCTGATCCCGGTGGAGTCGAACTCGGCCCAGCACCAGGCCCTCCTCAAGCTGCTGCTGAGCTTCGCCTCGGGGGGCCTCTTGGGGGACGCCTTCCTGCACCTCATCCCTCACGCCCTGGGTGAGTCGCCGGGGGGGCCCCCAGCTCCGGGGAGGGGGAGGTGCTCCCCCCCCTGCTCTGCCTGACCTACTTCCCTCCCTCCCTCCCTCTCCTTTCCAGAGCCTCACGCCCATCACGGAGAAGGAGGGGGCCACTCCCACGCCGAGGCCAAGCCCCCCGGCCACGGACACTCTCACCAGGGTAAGACCTGCCCTCGCTTTGTTCCGTCTCTTTCTGTCCCGAGCTCCCTCCCCGGGTTCATCTTCACAACGAGCCTGCGAGGTAGGCCAGGCTGACCGAGAGACAGAGGGAGGGGCTGGCCAGAGGGGAGCCGCACGACGTGAGCGTTCCGGCGGGAACTGCCCACGGCCGACATTCTCTTTTGGTCTGATGAACAGGGTGTGAAGGGGACCCCCACCCCGGGAGGAGCGCAGAGGATGCGGCGGGGGCTTCTGCACCCCCCTAAAAACATCAGAAGGGCCCTGCTGGATGAGACCAGGGAGGGTTCCGTCTAGTCCAGGATCCCGTCTCACGGGCATAGATTGCTTGGAAATGGGGTTAGACAGAGTCACAGAGGATAAGTCTATCAATGGCTACTAGCTCCACGTTCAGAGGCAGTATCAGGGCAAGACCTCAGCCTCTCTGCCCTGTTGCTGCCCCTCCAGGGGAACTGGCTGGCCCCTGTGTGAGACGGGAGGCTGGACTAGTTGGACCCTCCCTGGTCTGATCCAGCAGGGCTCTTCTGAGGTTCTTCTCAGGGGAAGGCCTCGGCCTCTCTGCTCTGTTGTTGGCCCTCCAGAGGAACCGGTTGGCCACTATGTGAGGCAGGATGCTGGACTAGATGGACCCTCACTGGTCTGATCCAGCAGGGCTCTTCTGGTGTTCTTATCTGGGGAAGGCCTCGGCCTCTCTGCCCTGTTGTTGGCCCTCAAGAGCAACTGGTTGGCCACTGTGTGAGATGGGGAGGTGGATTAAAGGGACCCTCGCTGGTCTGACCCAGCAGGGAACTTCTTGCGTTCTTCTCAGGGGAAGGCCTCGGCCTCTCTACCCTGCTGCTGGCCCTCCAGAGGAACTGGCTGGCCATTGTGTGAGACCGGAGGCTGAACTAGATGGCCCCTCACTGGTCTGATCCAGCAGGGCTCTTCTGAGGTTCTTCTCAGGGGAAGGCCTCGGCCTCTCTGCCCTGTTCTTGGCCCTCAAGAGCAACTGGTTGGCCACTGTGTGAGATGGGGAGGTGGATTAAAGGGACCCTCGCTGGTCTGACCCAGCAGGGAACTTCTTGCGTTCTTCTCAGGGGAAGGCCTCGGCCTCTCTGCCCTGTTGCTGGCCCTCCAGGGGAGCTGGCTGGCCCCTGTGTGAGACGGGGATACTGGAGGGAGAGTCATCCCGCGACTCGTGGCCCGCAAGCTCTGACACGCCACCTTCCCTTCTCTCCCCTCCCCTCGCCACTGGCGGCTAGATCCAGCGCACCAGCACATGATGTCGGTCGGGCTCTGGGTTCTCGGGGGCATCGTGGCCTTCCTGGTGGTGGAGATGTTTGTTAGGCACGTGAAAGGCGGACACGGACACAGCCACGTGCACAGCCACGGTGGGTAACGGCCTGGGTCCTGGCCAGGGACTGTGGGTAATAGTGTGTGGGGGGTAGTAGAGATGTGAAGGCCCGGAAAAATTTGGGGGGGGCGGGTTTTTTCCCCTGAAGCCTCCCCCCCCCCCCCGAAAAATTGAAAAATGAAAAGGAAAGGGGAAGAAATTGATTATGGAACGTTTTATTTTAACATGACGAAACAATATTTTGGGTCAAGGTGTTCAAATATTTTCCAAATCATTTCTAAAAGATACGTATGGTATGAGATTGATCTAATTTCTGTGCACTGAGGGACAAGCAAGCCCTAGGTTACCAACTGAACTCTCCCATGCAAGAACAAAGATGCATTTCTACCTGTAGGAGGTGCTGTTGTCACAAGAAAAGAGAAAGGTTTCAGTTTTGTTTTTGCCTGTGCGTGGGTATTCTGTTTGGAATAACTGTTTGGATACACTGTATTTTTAATAGTCTAGTTGTGATAATTTCATGCCCAGTAAAAATGTCCATAGTCATATTTTAGGTTCCTAAAGTAACAGAATGACTTTCAATCTGGAAAAGCATTCTTTTTTCAATTTTTCCGAAAATTTCCATTTCCATTTTCTGGAAATTTTACATCTCTAGAGGGGAGAGAACTCGGTGGGGGGGGGGCACCGTGTCTACTCCTGTGTGGCCAAGGCAGGTGGGTAGAGGACATGCCAGGTCTTCTAATATCCTGGCAGTCAGAGCCTCTTTTCACAGAATCATCAAGTTTATCTGGGGTTTTTTTGTGTTTATTTATTTATAAATGTTTTCGCATTTCTACCCCGCCCATCCCGTAAGCGGGCTCGGGGCGGGTTACGACATTCTAATAAGTACAATAAAATTTGAAACACATTAAAACATCTAAAATTGGTAGTCGTAGCTTGCCGTGGGGAGAATCCGGCCCATTGATGTGACTGAGTATGGCCGGTTATCAGTAGGCGGGAGACCGCAACCTTGGGGCGGGGGGGGCCTATATGTGGACGCCCACTGCCTCGGCCAAAGGCCTGGCGGAAGAGCTCCGTCTTGCAGGCCCTGCGGAATGCCGTACGATCCCACAGGGCCCTGATCTCCATAGGGAGCCTGTTCCACCGGGTGGGGGCCAGGACGGAGGAAGCCCTGGCCCTGGTCGAGGCGAGGCGGACATCCCTTGGGCCAGGGACCACCAGGAGATGTTGACTCTCAGAGCGTAACACTCTCCGAGGTGTATATGGGAAGAGGCGGTCCCTTAGATATATTGGAAGGGACCTCCAGGGTCATCTAGTCCAACCCCCTGCACAAGAAGAAGAAGAGAAGAAGAGATTGGATTTCTTCCCCACCTTCACTACCCAAAGGAGTCTCAGACAGTGTTCCCCCTAAGCTGAGTTAGCGTGAGCCAGCTCACAGTTTTTTAGCCTCCGACTCGCACATTTTTGTCTTAGCTCAGGAAGGAGGGCTCCAGAGCAAGCTAGCCAAATTGCTCGCTCACCACTTGAATGCCAGCAGCTCACAAAGCAGAATTTTTGCTCACAAGACTCCACAGTTTAGAGGGAACATCGCTCTCAGAGCGGCTGACAAACTCCTTTCCCTTCCCCTCCCCACAACAGACACTCTGCTGAGGTAGGTGGGGCTGAGGGAGCTCTTGACAGAAACTGCCTTTGAGAGAATAGCTCAGAGAGAACTTGTGACTGACCTGAGGTCGCACCAGCAGCTGCATGTGGAGGAGTGGGGGAATCAAACCCGGTTCTCCCAGATTAGAGTCCGCGCACTTGACCACGACACCAAACAAATGCAGGAAATTCACGCATACCTCCCCCCAGGGCTATTTTTGGGCAGGAACGCACAGGAACGGAGTTCTGGTTGGCTTCAGAGTTGGCCACACCCACTACAGCCAAAACCTCTGCATGTGTGGCTACAGAGGGAAGGCCTGGAGAGCGACCACCCCCTGATGACTCCAGGGCGGGCCAGGGGGGCACCAGCCTTTCCCAGCCTGTCCAAGGGCCGGTTTGCCCGGGCTCCCCACATCCGCAGGGCACCTGGGCCAGTGACCCCCTGCTCCATGCCCAGAAGGTGGCAAAAAAACCCTCCAGGATCTCCGGCCAAACTGACCCCAATGAAGAAGACCATCTTCTGGGCTGAGGAGGGAGAGGCGGGCAGAGGGTGGGCAGGGTGTGGGCCAGGGAGGACGGTGACGCCTTAACCCCTCTGCTGGCTGCGGCGGGGGTGTGTGAGCGGGACTGGTGGGGGGGCGGAGTGGGGCAGGGCCGGCGTCTTCCCCACCAGCTGGTCCCTCCCGGGGCAGCCGGTCGCCCTGGCGTCCTCTCGGAGTTTCCGTGCGGCTGACAGAAGGTGGGGTTCGGGTCTGGGTGGGCTCCATGTCTGTCCGGGCCTCTCCTGATCGCTCTTTGTCTCGTGTGCCCCCCCCATCCTCCCGCAGCCGCCAAGGCCAAGTGCAGCGATGACGAGGGGGAGAAGGAGCCCCCCCAGGGCGCGGGTGAGAAGGCTGCCTCCAAGACGAAGACCCCGGAGTCCAGTAAGTGGGGGGGGGCAGTGTTCCCTCTAAGCCGAGTGAGTGTGAGCCAGCTCACAGTTTTTTTAGCCTCCGGCTCACACTTTTTTTTTTGTCTCAGCCCAGGAAGGAGGGCTCCAGAGCAAACTAATATAGCCCAGTCGCCCGCTCACAACTTTAACGCCAGGAGCTCACAACGTAGAATTTTTGCTCACGGGACTCCACGGCTTAGAGGGAGCATTGGTGGTGGGCAGTGTTCCCTCTAAGCCGAGTTAGTGTGAGCCAGCTCACAGTTTTTTTAGCCTCCGGCTCACACATTTTTGTATTCGCTCAGGAAAGATGGCTCCAGAGCAAACTAAATCATGCAGTAGCCAAATCACCTGCTCACAACTTCAATGTCAGTAGCTCACAAAGTAGAATTTTTGCTCAGAGGGCTCCACAGCTTAGCGGGAACATTGGTGGGCAGTGTTCCCTCTAAGCTGAGTTAGTGTGAGCCAGCTCACAGTTTTTTTAGCCTCCGGCTCACACATCTTTGTCTCCGCTCAGGAAGGGATGGGGCTCCAGAGCAAACTAATTTACGCAGTAGCCAAATGGCTGGCTCACAGCTTTAATGCCAGTGGCTCACAGAGTAGAATCTTTGCTCACAGGACTCCACAGCTTAGAGGGAGCATTGGTGGTGGGTCTGAGGGGGGGGGTGGCTGGGGGCCACTTTTCAGCCTGCTTGCGGGGGTGGGCAGGGGGCACGGATCTCTGACCCTCCTTCTCTCCGCTCTCCGCTCCCAGCCATGCGTGTCGCCGGCTACCTGAACCTGGCGGCGGACTTCGCCCACAACTTCACGGATGGGCTGGCGCTGGGGGCCTCCTTCCTGGCGGGCAGCACCGTGGGGGCCATCACCACCCTGACCGTGCTGCTGCACGAGGTGCCCCACGAGGTGGGCGACTTCGCCATCCTGGTGCAGTCCGGCTGCAGCAAGCGGAAGGTGAGCCTTCCCGGTCCCACCTCGGGGGGTTGTGGTTGGCCGTCTGCGGGGCTTTGTCTGCCGTGGGGGGGGTCTGTTCTTCGTGCCGGGTGTTGCCGGCTGTGGGGGGACCTTGGGGGGGGGGGCCGGCCACCTCGTGTGCGACGGAGGGTGGGCGGGGGGGGGGGGGAGATTATTCTTATAGGGGACTCCGGCTGCATTTGGAAGGGAAGAGGGAGGGTGTTGGTGGGCCCTTGTGGGATCCAGTGAGGCGAGTCTTGTAAAAGGTTAGGGTGAGAGTGGCCTGCAGCTCTTAGCCAGCATGGCGGAGAAGGGAGCCTCCGTGGACAAGGCCGTCGGTTTATTTTCAAAACGTACCATCCTCACGCTCAAGGCAGCTTCCAGCGGGATTCACAGGCTGTCTTCAGGGCCAGGTTCCGGAGGGGGCCAGAGGCTTTCCTAGCCGGCTTGAGGCCCTACTCCTCTGAATCCCAGAGCCAGGAGGCAGCATCGGGGGAAGGCCTCGGCCTCTGTGCCCCTGTTGTTGGCCCTCCAGAGGAACCGGTTGGCCACCGTGTGAGACGGGAGGCTGGACTAGATGGACCCTCCCTGGTCTGATATTTGTAAAGCCTCATCAGAAAGCCACTTTGCTTTCTTGCATTTCTTTTTCTTTGGGATGGTGGTGATTGCTGCCTCCTGTACAATGTCACGAACCTCCGTCCATAGTTCTTCAGGCACTCTATCTATCAAATCAAATGAATTGAGCAAGCCACTATTTTTTCAGAAGACTTACTTATTGAATTGAATAATCTTTATGATTTGGATTTAACTTTATAACTGATGTGTTTAGTTCTCTGATATGGTGTAGGACATGTTTAAAGTACACTTCGGAAGTTTTCATTCTAGTATAAGACTCTTGAAGTTTACATAAATCTAATGACATATGAATTTGTAATAGTTGTTATTTGGTTCACACATCGCTTATAAGTGAATTTTCACGGTGTTTTCTAGTGGGTTTGGCCACTATGTGAGAGAGGACACTGGACTAGATGGACACTGGTCTGATCCAGCAGGGCTCTCCTTATGTTCTTATCAGGGGAAGGCCTCAGCTTCTATGCCCTGTTGCTGGCCCTCCAGAGGAACTGGATAACCCCTGTGTGAATCGGAATGCTGGACTAGATGGACCATTGGTCTGACCCAGCAGAGTTCTTCTGGTGTTCTTATCAGGGGAAGTCCGTGGCCTCCATGCCCTGTTGTTGGCCCTCCAGAGGAACTGGTTGGCCCCTGTATGAGACAGGATCCTGGACTAGATGGACTCTTGGTCTGATCTGGCAGGGTCTGTCTTATGTTCTTATCAGGGGAAGGCCTTGACCTCTATCCCTTGTTGTTGGCCCTCCAGAGGAACTAGTTGGCCCCTATGTGAGACAGAATCCTGGACTAGATGGACCACTGGTCTGATCCAGCAGGGCACTTCTTCTGTCCTTAAAAAATAATAAAGAACATTTACATTTAATGCACACATTTAATACACATCATATTTTATATAATGTAATGAAATGAAATTTTCCCATTGCTTGACTGAGAGTGGAGGGGCTGGACCTGTTGGGCCAATGGGTCAGAAGTCAGGGGACGGATCATCTCGGCTATGGAGAAGTTTGGCTTATGAGAGGTCCAGTGTCCAGGCGGCACGCCCCGCTGAAAGATTGCTCACAGCGATGGGAGCCGCATGGGGCTCTACCCCCAGTAGAGGGACCACTGCCATTCTCCAGCCTGTAAGTGGAGCCGCAGGCCCCACTCTGGCAGAGGAGCTTGGTGCCCCATGGGAGGAACAATGCAAGAGAGAGGCCCCATCTTGGCATGCACAGCAGGAAAGGCCATGGGCCCACATAGTCCCCAGGATTCCCTCTGTGGGGATCTCAAAAAATGTGGTGACCTCCCCCTCCAGAGGCCAGAGCAGGGCAACCCTCCCTCAGTGTTCAAGGTGTGAATGACTGCACCCCCAAATTCAGGTGGAGGTGGCCCAGTGTCAGAGGGTGCTGGACTCTATGGCATTGGGTATCCCCCTGAGGTCCCTGTCTTCCCCAGGTGCCGTCCCTCTATCTCCAGGAATTTCCCAGCCTAGACCTGGCGACCCTACCTCCCCCCCTTACTGCTGGTGGCCAAGTGGGACCTGGCAACCCAATCCTAGTCTGACATTAATCAGACTAGTAATAACATTGATGCCAGCATAAGCGTTGCAAAATGAACATGGTCTTGAAGGTGCCACCGGACTTCTGCTACAGTAGACTAACATGACTACTCCTTTGAAGCACCAAAAGCAGCCCTATGTTATGGGGGGAATAAAGGGATGCAGTTGGAGCTGCATCTGGGGCTGCATCTAAGCCTGCCCCACAGGATGCCTTTGACATCAGCAGATATGCATTTTACCCCCAGTTAGTCTGTTAAACTTTGGCCCACAAAACTTCATGGTAGCCAAGCAGTTCTACAAGAAAATTGTCCTTCTGTCTCTCTGTAGAACCTGACATTTGAAAATGACAGACATGAAAAACTCAGGGGGGACACCTGGAACATAAAGCAGAGAAGAGACCAGGTTATAGAGGCCTGGCCCAAAACAGAGCGATCTATTAGAACATCTACCTTGGAGCCCAGGCCCGCCGCTTGGATGGGCGTTTCCTCCTCCTCCTTTTTACCCCTCGCAGATTGCCATAGCACGGCGGCCGGAGGGAGAGCGCAAGATGGCGGCCTTGGAACTGAGGCTGCACTTTTCTGACGTCTGATCGCTCCTGCGGTGTTGAGCCACATCTGCTCCTCTCTATTTCTAATTTCAATATTTGTTGTATTAGACAGAAGAACAATTAAAGGGGCAAAAGACAAACTAATTCCTGTTTTCATGTAAATTCTTTTGCCCATTCTATATACTGTCACCTTTAGGCATGATCATTATATACATTCTTTTTAGCAGATTCAGAAACTATGATTATAGCTGGGTATTAGTTTACTATTGTTAAATTTTCTAGGAGTAATGCACCATCTCATCATTATAAGAGTGCAATATTCTCTGAGATTTCAAGGATAACAAGTTTGCGTTATTTTGGCCAAATGGGACATTGCTGTTTCGCAGTCTTGTCTTCAGCAATTCCTTAACAATAGACTTGAAATGTCTAGCAACATTACAATGATGAAAAAAATTGTTCTTATTTATTATGAACAGAAACTTATACTCAAACTTATCTGGCTGCAAACTAGACCTACCTCCCCCCTCAAATATCAATCCATGCCAAAAAGAAAATTCCTTGTATACAGAAATATAATATCAGGAATTAATGTTCTAATCTAGACTTTCCCTAATATGCTAGTTTCCAACAGAAGGATTCCTTCCTTCCTTCCTTCCTTCCTTCCTTCCTTCCTTCCTTCCTTCCTTCCTTCCTTCCTTCCTTCCTTCCTTCCTTCTGATCACTCTGGGGTCACCAATGCCCAGGTGGCATCTGGAGATCTCCTGCTATTACAACTGATCTCCAGATTACCAGGATCTGTTCCCCTGGAAAAAATGGCTGCTTTGGAGGGTGGACTTGGCAACCCTATGTGAATCTGAAGTGGTATAGCTCTTATATGGGTTTATCAGTGCAGTGAGAACCAGGGCCCAGTCTTTCTTTGATCAGGTGCTAGATTTGTTACAGGTCTGCTTCAAGGAGACAGTGGTGTAGGGGCAGGGTTTTGGCTTGTCATTGTGTGGAGAAATGTATTTACGCATGGAGACCTTGGGAGTTTCCTTCCTTTGGCATGAGAGGTTTCATGAGATGTTGCCCATACAGCTTTAAAGGCTATGCCTTCTAAGGTGTGTCGTGGGTATTTGTATGTGGGGCAAGCACACACTTTCTGAGATAACCCCAAAGAGGCAGTCTCTGTGTCTGTATGCAACAATGCTCCTAACCACCGGTATACCAACATAATTCCATCAACACGAATTCCGCTGTGACTCATCAGTTGATCTTACGTTACCGAAAGTTCGACAATTAATGGCTTAACCACTCACTTGAGGATTTCGTTTCAGCAGATTCTCGGAGGCTCCTGGACACTCCATTTTGCCACTTCTGTTGTGGGAAAATAAAGAATGCATTATTTCTCCTTAGCATACACACCCTTTTCCAGCAAGACATTCTGTCCGTGCCACTAATTACTGTTAATTAAAACTTTCGATGAGAATTTAGGTACCTGTTGACAACCAAGAATGGGGGAGGGAGAGAAAGCAATCATATTTTTGCAGGATCAAGGTGGTCATGCCACAGATGTGTATAAATGACTTCTAAGAAGACAGCTGTTATTTCCATGGACAGTGGCATATACCCAAACTATACATTACAATCAGGGATCATTTCGTAGAAAAAGAGGTGCAGGAGATCATTAGCATAACTCATTAGCATAACTTATTTGCATATACCACACACCCTGACATCACCGGAAGTGTGTCAGAAGGCAACACCCACTGCTCAGGCTCCATTGGACTGTTTTGGATTGCTGGCTATTGGGGGGGGGCGTGCAGATCTGTCCTCGCAAAGGAGGAAAAGCTTGTACCTGAATAAAACTTGGTCTTAAAGGTGCCACTGGACTGTTTTGGGCCGGGGGGGGGTCTGCAACTTACCTGCCTGCTTCTTGCTCTGACTGAGGGCTCCTGGGAGCAGGGGGCGGGGCTTGTTGCATGTGCCCGCCCCCTGGGCTCTTTACTGTCGAAGCTCCGCTCCTGTGCGCTCCTGCAAGAAATGACCCCTGATTACAGTGTAACACACTCACAAACATACAGAAAGAAAAAAAAAGAGACTGTATACAGAAGAAAACAAGAAAATTATACGAATTGTACAGAAATATGTTTCGCAACTATCATATTGGTGCTTTCTTTCTAAGTGTCATTTGGTGTAGTGGTTAGGAGTGCGGACTCTAATCTGGGAGAACCAGGTTTGATTCCCCACTCCTCCACAGGCAGCTGCTGCTGTGATCTTAGGTCAGTTACAAGTTGTCTCAAAGTTGTTCTCTCAAGGGCAGTTCTCAGAAGAGCTCTCTCAGCCCCACCTACCTCATAGGGTGTCTGTTGTGGAGAGGGGAAGGGAAAGGAGATTGTAAACTGTTCTGAGACTTTTGGGTAGTGAAGGGAGGTGTATAAATCAACTCTCCACCTCCTCTCCTTCTATCTTAATTTTTCTGTCTGGGTACAAAACATTTGACAGTGCAATCCTAAATCAAAGGGCATAGAAGGGTGTACCTCTATTTAGGATGGCACTGATGGTTTCAGGACCCACAAAGTCCCCATGCTTTAGTAGAAGCTGTTTTCAATGCACCAGTCTGCTGGGTGGAGAATACCTCTGATAGCATGCAAATTCCCTTTTTTAGGACCAAGTAATGACAGCTTGGTCTCTTTGGTTCTGTTGAAAGGGATAACAAAACTTGATTGCCAAAGAAGAAGAAGAAGTCTGGAACCAAAATACTTTTATCCACTCACCAACTAGACAAAGGGAGAGTGACATCAGCCTCCCTTCTTTACTGCTGAATTTAAATTGTTTGCCTTGGGTTTAACCCAAGAACTTGTTTTCAGAGTCTGTTTTCAGTTCTTGAATATCAAAAGTAGCATTCCTCTGAGGATCCACAGAAGGCCGTTCCCTGCCCATTAAGGTGAATACAACTATCAACCAACAAAAAGGCTGCAGGCAAAATTAGAGATCTAACATTTCTAGAAACTTTGAAGCCCTGGGTGGTGGTGGGGAGTGAGAGAGAAAGATGGGAATTGTGGCAGAAATTGAAATACATGCAATACTTACATTCTTAATTGTACACATGGCACTCTCTGCAAAACACTGGATAGCCCCCCTCCCCTGCTAGATTTCTACCTTCATAACTAGTTAGTGGTTTAAAGGTATCTAGGTATCTAGAATGATACAGGGCTCTTCTTATGTTCTTATCAAGCCTAAAGGTATTTTATGGCTTTAACATAATAAAATCTATCATTTCTAACATAGCATATAGAAGTTGTACTATTTGACATATTTATGAGTGTTTAAAAGTATAAATGCCTCAGTTTTCTACAAGACTACATTGTGCGTGTACTCAGTACTAAAGCGAAAAAGAACTGTGAATTGCTGCTCCCTAAACTACCTTAGGACTGCTGGGGCTCAAGTGGTTAAGATGCTGAACTGCAAACCGGAAGGTCGGTAGTTCATCAGTTTGAGACCCGAGTGCCACATGACGGAGTGAGCTCCTGTCTCTAGTTCCAGCTCCTGCCAACCTAGCAGTTCGAAAGCAAGAAATTGCAAGTAGATAAATAGGTACCACTTCGGTGGGAAGGTAACAGCGTTCCGTGCGCCTCAGCGTCTAGTCATGCCGACCACATGACCATGGAAACGTCTTTGGACAGCGCTGGCTCTTCGCCTTGGAAATGGAGATGAGCACCGCATCCCTAGAGTCAGATTCGACTGGCTTTCGAGCAAGGGAAACCTTTACTTTACCTTTACTAAACTACCTTAGCATATGTAGAATATTGCTTGCCATCTTACATGTAGGAAGACATGGAAATAGTTGAATACAGAAACAAATTCTATAAAGAAAAGGAAGTGTGTTATCTGTACAGAAACAGTCTCATACAGTCCCAATAGAACAAGCAGCATATTTGGAAAACATGTTAAATTAGGATTACCAACCTCCAGGTGGTGGCTGGAGATCTCCTGGGATTAGAATTGATCTCCAGGCAACAGAGATCAGTTCACCTGGAGAAAATGGCTGCTTTGGAAGGTGGACTCTCTATGGCATTGTACCCCTTCTTCTCCTGCCCTCCTCATACTCCACCCCCAAAATCCCCAGGTATTTCCCCAACCCAGAGCTGGCAACCGTATTTATGACACTGGAAAACACTTAACTTTTCAATATTGTATTTTTATACATTATATTAGTTGTGGACAAAACTAATCACATTTCAACAATAAATATATGTTTGAAAATATATTCATATCTACATTATGGACAGGAATGACCACTCATACTTTAGATTCTTACATAAAAATCTTCATACACACTGAGTGACTAACCCAATCTTGTCTTTAAAAGAGGAATTAGATAAGCACATGGAGCAGAAGTCCACCAGTGGCTATTAGCCACAAGGTATAGATAGGAACTCTTCGTCTGGGGCAAGTGATGCTCTGTATTCTTGGTGCTGGGGGGGGGGCAACAGTGGGAGGGCTTCTAATGTTCTGGCCCCACTGCTGGACCTCCTGATGGCAGCTGGTATTTTTGGCCACTGTGTGACAGAGTGTTGGACTAGATGGGCCATTGGCCTGATCTAACATTGGCTTCTCTTATGTTCTTAAAGCCTTTTCACCAATTCCAGAGGAGAAACCATTTCACAGTTCTTTTCAGGGCTTCCCCCAATGTCCATTTGTTTCTTGGAAAAATGGGGGGGGTGTCAGAATTCCCCACCTGCCAAACATTTTTGGGTTTTATGTGTTTTTTTCTTGGTGGGGGGAGCCACATTTCTAAGCAATTTTTTTTCTGTTTCCTAAACATCTGTAATTAGTCCAGTGTGGCATACAACTGTCAAAACCTTCAGGATTGCTCACTCTGGTTTGGGAAATTCCTGGAGAATGGGGAGGCTGTCCTGGGGAGGCAGAGTTTGGGGAGGGAGCTCACTGGGGGGTATTTCACATCCTATGATGTCACATCCAGATAACAGATCAGTTCTTCCAATCTTTCCCTTCCTGTGAGATTACTACCTCCCACTGAAATTAAAATTTTAAATTTC